CCGGTAATAATTTCAGTGTGCAGTCATGGTTTATTTTCAGTGTTCCCTGTTTTCACGTAATGCAAAATTCTAGTATAATGTAAGATGGAATATTGGCACTTCAGCCAATAGAGCAGTGTTTCTCTACCTTGGCAACTTGAAGACGTATGGACTTCAACTCCCAGAAGTCCACACATCTTCAATTCCCATGCTGGTTGGGGAATTCTGGGAGTTGAAGTCCACAAGTCTTCAAGTTGCCAAGATTGAGAAATACTACAGTAGGGAGTGGGAAGACCAAATGGAGATGCACTCAGCCTCCATGTTTGTTTCTGACATCATATACAGTAAATCATGGTTTCATCCATTTATGCCATGTTATCTCCCCAGTGCTTAATGACATTTAACACCACTTCTATGTAAGCTACCACTTTTTTACATAGATTTTTTTTTTTCATTTCGATCTGGAACTTCTGCATTCAAATGTTTTTGCTAATAGCTGAACTTTAGAAAATATTCCCCAAAACATTCTTCCCTGCGATACTCTTCCCCCATCAAGCCAACAAATATTTCTTTTTAAAAATCAGTAGGGAATGTTTACTGCTGAGTAAATTCTATTGAATTTGGCTGGTGTTGTAAATAGGATCATAGAATCATAGGGTTGGAAAGGACCTTGGAGGTCTTCTAGTCGAACCTTCTGCCCAAGGCAGGAGTCCTCATACCATCTTGGACAAACGGTTGTCCAATCTTTTCTTGAAAACCTCCAGCAATGGAGCACCCACAACTCCGGGAGGCAAGCTGTTCCACGGCTTAATAGTTCTCACTGCCAGGAAATTCCTCCTTATTTCCAGGTTGGGTGTCCCGCTTCCACCCATGGCTTCTTGACCTACCCTCAGGCGCTATGGAGAATAAAGTGACACCCTCTTCCCTGTGGTAGCCCTTCAAGTATTGGAAGGCTGCTATCATGTCTCCCCTCAGTCTTCTCTTCTTGTTAAGCTAACCATACCTAGTTCCTTTAGCCCAGTGTTGTCCAAACTTGGCCGCTTTAAGATGAGTGGACTTCAACTCCCAGAATTCCCCAGCCAGCATGGCTGGCT